TTCAGTTAAAGGTGCGTTTTTATAAGTCTTCCTACCATTATGACCAAGTTGCGAAAACAAGGTTAAACAACTTCTATACCATATATATGTTTATTTATTTATTTATAAGCAACAATCGCCTTGACTATTCCAATGTTTTACTTGCTTATTTCAATGTGGTATCTGTGCCCTTTTGAGCGGCTTTCATGAGAACTCTCCACACTCCACACTGGCTTTCTCAACCCCTTACCCTCCCCCTTCCCCTTCACCCTTGTGCTGGGAATGTTGATCAGAGTCTCCCTCTTTTCCCGTGGGATCGGTCTGCTGTCTTCCTGGTTCATGTATTTCACTCGACCCCTGTCACCCCATCTGTGCTACTCGGGACCTTATTTATCACATTCTGCGTCTGGGAGAATAACTCGAGGCTAAAGCCCCTGCGTATTTCTCATAATCGATCCTTTGCTACATGGACCACGTCTATGGTAAAACAGGCTTACTATAAGCCAACAAGCTCTAGTCTTCATCGCCTCTATCCTGTTTCTATCCCTAATACTAGGTCTGTGCCCTAGTCTTTTGTGTGCCAATCCAGAAATGTTGTGGTACTGCTTACTTTGATTAGGTTCAATTTTGAACCACAATTGTGTGTTTGTACACGAGAGATTATGGCATATTAAGTCATAGACTTAGTATTAGGGATATAAACAGAATATACTTGGTAGAGACTAGAGCTAGTCGGTTTACAGTAGGCCTCTTTTACCATAGATGTGGTTCATGAAACAAAGGCTTGACCATGAGAATTACTTAGGGGCTCTAGCCTCAAGTCTCCCAGACAGTGTGGGAAATAACGCCCCCAGTAGCACAGATGGGGTTTCAAGGGTCTAGTGGGATACATGAACCTGTGAGATAGCAGACGGATCCTACGGGACAAGAGGGAGATAAGATCTATGGAAGGATGACGGCGTTACAATAGGGCAGACTTTGATCAACATTCTCATCTTAAGGGTGAAGGGGGGTGAGAAAGCCAGCGAGGAGTGTGGAGAGTTCTCATGAAATCCGCTCAGAAGGGTGCACTATACAACATTTAAATAAGCAAGTTAAAATTGTGATACTAAGACTGACAAGACGCATTTACTATGACGGCGAAACATATTTGAATGTATCACGTCCGACTTGAAATTATCATACATACAATGGACTCCGAACTATATGCTTTCCTATAGGTTTTCCTACCAATATAACCAAATTGCAAAAAACAAGGTCAAACATTTTCTATACTACGAAGGGAGACTGTGACCACACAAAAGGCCACATAATCTTGGTATTCATACCATTGATTACTGACTATTATTTCAAAGAATATTTTACTCAGCCCTCAGAACAGTAACGTACGCGGAAGACTTAAGCATATATTTGTACACAGATTACACTCGGTTTATTAGTCAACAAATTGAGTACTCATACTTAGCAGGTCACGAGGGTCTGCTAACAGAAACCAAATATGTTAGTTTCTTGAGACCATTTATCTTAGGGAAGGGTTTTAAAAGAAACTCTGTTTATGTTTGACTAAAAGGGACTGTAAGTTCCAATCCCTTCACCATCTGAAGAACTGGATTAAGAGGTTGAAAGTCAGAGTAAGACTAACTATTACAACTTACCTTTTGATTTACTATGGCTATCCATTGTTGTTGGACAAATTTTAAGTTAGGAACCACTTAGTCATTTGTTAATTTTTATTAAGGAACATTATCTGGAGAGTATGATGGATACTAGTAAGATTAATCAAGTTTCAAGATTTATTAATTTATCTTTTCCTAGAACTGCATACAGTTGGCAGAGATTCAAGGTTAATTATAAGAGATATATTGTTTTCATCGAAGAAAATTTATTTTATAAAGTCACCGCTTATTTTAATGTATTGGAAATTTACATTCAATTTTCCCCAAATTAAATCTTCGCTAGATATGAAGACCAAGATGGTGTGGCCTTCTGCTTGGTCGCAGTCTCCTTTAGCTTTATAGTGTTGGTTCGACCTTGTGGAACGTTCCTACTTCTGTGTCCTCTGCCATAGTATTCGTGATTTTCAGCACTTATCACTTTGATAAGTTGTAACTCTGTGCTTTCGATTGCGCCTTTCAATGAGGATGCCGGCGGAACGTTTGGAAATGTACCTAGCCGATAGTTCAATGCTGGAAGTCACGAATACTATGGCAGACGACACGTGACTAGGCACGTTCCACAAGGTCTCTCTGGCGCTCCGACTAAGTTGCGAAAATAAAGTCGAACCAACACTAGATCTTCTCTAGCTTTGATTACTATATTTACCTATGCCTGTCGCTACTTGCTAAAAGCTTATTATGATTTTGGGCAAACTTCCAAAACTCTATTTTGACATTTACAAATTATCACCAATCCTTAATATTTTCCTGTCTTTTATTTGCTTCTTAGATATCAGTCTCACTCTTCTGTCTTCATCAGCCCAAGTAGCGCCGAGTATGATTCCTCGAGGCTTACTCGTGACGGATTCGGACGTCTAACTGGCGTGAATGGGCTCGTAGGCTCTGCGATCACTTCACGAGCCTCCCAATCTTGCACACCTGCATCTGGCTCAGGCCAAATTGGTCTATCATGCAGCCTTAATCCTCCATCCTGCTTGCCGACTCTGACTGCAGGCGATATTGCGACCGTTACCGCTGTACGTAGCTGTGGAAGCGGCTCAGGCACATCACTGCGCCGAGTCGCTACTTCTCTCTCCTGTAGTCTGCCCAACTCGGCAGCTGGTCAGGTGGTCGGTGGCTTGGATCGCCGTCACCTGATAAACTCATGTCAATCGTCCTCAACTTCATCATTCGCATCAGCACCATCTACTGGAATCTCTCTCTCAGCCTCCTCAGCTTCATTCTCATTTTCGTCATCATCCCCTCCTCCTCCACTCCTAGAACCAAGTACGTCTTGCATGAACAATTATTACTCTCTACTCCAAACCGTCTTAAATGCATCACCAGCGATATGTACATGCATTCAGACAGATAACTATTATTTTTCGTTTAC